AAAGATCAAGAAGTCAGATTAAAGGCTATGAGATACTGGATAAATAAAAAATCAACTAAGGATAGTAGGCAGATGAATGCAGCCATGTCTCTATGAATAGAGATTATAATCATCTCTTTTTATAAGCCAACCTCCTTTAGTTCAGCCAAGAATACTGGTGCTCTGTGCGTATGTCTCTAAGGTCTAACTGGCTTTATGTATCAGGATTTTTGAGCTGAAATTTATTGACTTTATTTTATAACCAGATTTTGGATTAGAACCTTCAGACAAAATGAGAATATAATGACATTATATTGCAGGGTAGGCTGCTGACTGCAGAATTAAATTTGGGGTGAATCTTAAGTACACACTCCCTGAGTGCAGAAATGTCAAAACAAACTCCAGAAGCAAAGCCTGATTACCTAAGGGTTCAAAATTCAGGCCTCTCTCATTAGTCAGACCCTTGTCGTTTGCATCCTATTTGAAGCTGGAAACATCTGCCACCAAATTTTTTACTCAAGTAAGTTTTGTTCCTTAAATGTCATGGCTAGCAAGAATACAGTATCACCATCCCTTACCAAAGATCCTAAGGGTCAGAAGATTTTTAGAATTCAGAATTTTTTAGGTTTAGAAAAGTACCAGAGCCATATACCATATACTATGTGACACCCCAGAAGTGTCTGACCAATGGCCCCCTACTCCTATCACACTGATACTTTTGCAGTAAAAATTGTGCAAACTCACTCAACCCAAAGTGAACTAACTCAAGAATATAAATAGCCTCATCTCAGTTCAGGCCAAGTATGACCATCCAATGAGCTTCAGCACCAAACTTAGCATAAAATTTTTTTTTATTTTTCAGAGCTTTCAGATTTCAGAACTGAGTTTAGGATTTCAGAATTAAATACAGAATTTCAGAATAATAAAAATTCCATGTCAATTACCAAGAAATCTACCCTCCCTGAACTTTAAAAGCAAAGTACCAAAGAATATAGAAAAGTCTTGTTTCCTGTCATACACATGGTTCAATAAAGTAATCCCATCAAAAAGAAGAAGTCTGGAAAGGTCAGGTCTCTGACAAGATGAAATGTTCAGAAATATAATAACCAGGTTAGGAGGAAAAAATTCTTTTTTAGGGGAAAATTTTTAAAGTAGCCAAACACTGGGGCTTTAAAAAAAGTATGCAAAAATGTGAAAAACCATTCCAAACTTTCAGTGCAGGTGAATATGCTAAATAAATTATGGAAAATTACATAAATCAGCTTTTAACTACTATCAGAAAATGTGCTATGAGAAAGAAGCAATCCCATCTCAAGCTTCAGTCTCAACTGCTCACTTGGACTAACATTCCTGAGTTATTTCCGGGGAGGGCAACGGTCATCAAAGTCACCGTTCTGTCACTTGCAGTGGTCTTGGCCCTATATGCTCTGTCTCACAGGTGCAGAACAGTTTGACGTTTCCTCTCCAAACAACTCAGGGCACCGAGAGTTAGCACAGAGCAGCATGCAGCCAGGACTTCCGAATGGGGGAGAATACACCAGAAGCCCGCTTTTCACACAACCCCATCCCTCACAGGTTTGAAACAATGACACAAACAGAGGTAAATTCTGCAAGGGTATGAAGTCCAAGCATTCTAAAGATTAGGTTGTGTGCAAGCCAGGTGGGGAAAGTAGAGTCTTTCTACACTCCTATTGAATTACACACACTCTTGTGACAATCTGAGCGACTATGGGAACTTCAGAGTTATAAAGTGGTATTCAGGGTGAAACTGGTGAGCCAGGGCAAAGTTTTACATTCACTTTGTGAGAGGTGTGAGATCTGCCACAAGCTTCACTTGTAAGTAGACATTCTTTTTTTCATTTCAATTCACCCAACACCCCTCAAAAACCTACAACATATCAAAGCACAAGCTGGACAAGGAGAACACAAGCACAGAAATGAACAAATGGCCACCAGGAAGTCAAAGCTGAAAAAGCAGTGACTCAGGATGCAGAATCTATAGACGCACCGCCATGGGCATGTCTCGGTGTTGTTTTCAGAAGAGAGACAGATACCCTGCTACTGCATACCTAAGCCACACTTTAAAACCTAACTAACGGGAAAAATCACTCTGAATGACTGACAGCAACACCCACTGAAAAATGAGACCAGAACTTGTGCGAGTCTCTATTTACACAGTTAAGTTATATAATACACCATTTTTAATAAGCATTCAGCAAAAACAGACACATAACCAAAACAAGTAAAAAATTTATTTGGTTGCTTCTTATGAACCCAAGAGCTAAACATTTAAAACACAAAAGCTATTTAGTCAATTCACTGACACAATCTAACTTGTGCAACGTGACAACCACTGATCAAACAGTTAAATCAACGTGGCATCACTGAAATTCTGGACTCCTTTGTATCTAGGACAGAAATCCAAGATATGACCAGGCAGTCAATAAATCCGTATGTAAAATAAACATTTTGAAATACAGGATGCTCTGAAATACTATCACTGATCAGCTTCTTTGTCACTGGAACAGGGCATACTTTTGAAAAAGAAAATAAAAGCTCAAATTTACTGTTTTCTAAAGGAAATAAAGTAAAAAAAAAAAAAAAAAAAGGTGACCACTGGATATTATATAAGACTGATGAATCACTGACCTCTACCTCTGAAACCAGTAACACATATGTTAATTGAATTTAATTTTTTTAAAACAGGTGATCATTCATTACACTATTAGCCCTATAGTTGTTGTCTACAACATACACAGAGAGAGACACTAATATGTATGTGCCAACAGAGCTTTAGGCAGCCTCTTAGGATTGTGACAAAGAATATATTGCCTTTTATTAACCCTAGATTGATTATCTGAACAGTAATCTTCTAATTTTTATATATAATTTCTCAGCATCCTCTAGGAAAAGGTTTTCTCTAAAATAATACCCACCTTGCACCTGAAGAACTGAATGCAGTTCTTCCACTACCTTCCTTTGGCCAAGCAGCTTCTCTATCTTTCTAAGTCCTTATGTCTGTAGATTATGTCTCGGATGTCCTGAGCACAGACTACGTGATCACCAGCTAACATTCTTTTTCTTTTTAAATCCTTAATCCATTGTAGTTGCATGATTGATACAGAATAAAAATGAATGCACATACTCTTAAAGAAGTTCTTCCATGTGCTAAGTTAAACTACAATCTATTACAGACATAAAGATTTTTTTCTGTTAAATTATTTTGATCCTATTGTTTGTCACTTAAAAAGTAATAATTCTACCTGTTACATAGATCTTACTCAGATGGTTGAGAACTGAATGTATCCATCTCATACCGGTCATCTTTTTTTTTTTTTTTAAGATTTTATTTATTTATTTGAGAGAGAGAGAATGAGAGACAGAGAGTACATGGTGGGGGGAGGGTCAGAAGGAGAAGCAGGCTTCCCACCAAGCAGAAAGCCCGATGCGGGGCTCCATCCCAGGACCCTGAGATCATGACCTGAGCTGAAGGCAGACGCTTAATGACTGCGCCACCCAGGCGCCCCTTAATTGTGGTTTTAAATAGCAAGGTCTTCAAGAAGGAATAGAATCAAAAGATACAGATATGACCATACATAGGATTAATTAACAGAAACTACAGCACATTTATAAACACAGTAGTAGCTACTTAAGGGGAACAACCCCACAAATTTCGTTTTGAAAACTTTGTAAACATTTGGGGAAAAAAGCCACACAAACAATTCTGGCAAAGCTGTGGAGTTCTGGGTATTGTCATAGCTACAAACAAACGCAGTACAGACAGTAAAGAAAGAGTATCTGAAGAATACTGTATTCTATGAAAAAAGCTTAATCTCTCTTAAATAAGAAAGCTCTAAAATTGCCTAAATAATAAAAACATTTCCCAAAGAGATACTAATCTAGTCAGGTATGTCTAGCTTGAAAATCATACTTCTAACACTAACAAGG